GCCGCGATTTCGGCGCGGAATTCACCCGAGCCGCTCACTTTCTCCGCTTTTCGCGTATCACTGATCGCAGAAATCGGAATATTTCTCGGTTCTGATCGTTTGGACGTTGCTGGTTCTCCAACGATTGATCGAAGATCGAGAGAGACGGACGTCTGCCACGCGATGCAACCGTTTCATCGCTTATTCATCCACGCCGCGGATACATTTGTTGGCTGCAGCGACGTTTCACGTTCGTTCGCTTTGTTAACCGTATTCTTGCCTCGCCGCCTGTCACTTTAATCAGACGACGTTATTATCGAGTTTCGTTCAGAGATTACGTGCTTTTACATGGTTTGCTGTTTCGATGTTTTCCTCTTACGTTATATCGTTTATTATTACACAGTGAAACTGGTCTGTTTGGCAAACGCAAAATGATTGCTGTGAGGAGAATTTCGTGCAGGTTTATCAAAGACGAGCGAGAATAATTCGTTTGGAAGACGAAGAAAAATTGATGCGCAGAGAATTTTGCAGAGATTTGTTATAGATCAGTGACAGATACGAGGGAAAAATTTGGTTAAATGGAAATTGCATCGTTTTACGTGTCTGTTTTCACGAAACAATGTGAGAATGATCTTTCTCGCGAATAAGTAAGAACAACTTTTAAGGAAAAGTGAATTGTTTGGTGTATTGTTACGCTAATAGAGAAAGAATTTTAATAACTCGTTTTGGAATATGATCAATGTACATGTTTTAATTTGATGACGTAGAATTTGCTAGGTATTTTTCAAGTAAACAATTCTTGATTTTACGTGAAAAAATAACACAACAATTTTTTGGCAAAGTGTTTGCTTGCTTTTTAGCAAGATGCTTTTACGCAGATTCACTTTGAAAGTGTCATTTTTTCCATCATCGACTGGCGTTCAAAAATCGAAGACAAATGTATTAACCAAACGAAGGAGAAGCAAAGGAAATGAAAATTCGTTACGCCTCGATTACTAGTTCGAGCGTCTTCGTGCCAGCTGGTAATTAAAATAAAATTAATGCGGAAACTCGACGCAGCAGCGAGTTAA